GAATCTACTGTATAGGCCTATGTTTCTGCTTATTTTAGTATACAAACAATATATTAATGCCCAGTTTCACAGACAAGGTTTAAGCCTTGTCCCAGACTAAAATGCATGTTTGAGCTCTCTTAACTGAAAGCAACTTTCAACTGACATACCATCTTTCCATCTTAAAGGAGTCATATGATGCGATTTAAATTTTTCCTTTCTCTTTGGAGTGGTACAAGCTCTTGGTGCATAAAGAAGACCTGTAAAGTTGCAAAGACTAAAGTCTCAAATCCAAAGAGATAGTCTTTATAAAAGTTAAGAGTCAACCTAAAACGGCTTGTTCCAACACACCCCCACATGTCTACGTCACAATGTGGGAAGATTTGCATAACGCTGCCCAAATGTTCATGCAAAGAAAGAAGGCATAACTTTTATTCTCGTTGTAGTATTGTTGCCGTCAACGCCATGTCGTGAAGGCACTGTGTGTGTCGTTGTGAAAGTGAAACTACTTTGTTTGGCCTTCCAAAAGAGGACGATATCTGCTTTGTCATGCCTGGAGCTGATCCGTGCTGGTCGCTGAAGAAATACATCAACTTTGCGCTGTGGATAGCCGGATCGGCTTTCACTGTGGACGAAGTGGAGTCCAGCCCGGGGTCATCACATGTGGTTGCCGCAAGCCCGCCGGACGCTCCTTCGTCGAATCCACCGGCCGCCCCGTTCTCAAGCCCTCCTGTCTCTGCTCACTCAAGCCGGCCTCCGCTCACTCTAGGCCGCGGATCACTCTAGGCCTCCGGCCTCCGCTCACTCAAGGCCGCAGTGTGTGACGCTGTTTCGTTGTTAAAGCGAAACTACTTTGTTTGGCCTTCCAAAAGAGTACACGACTAGAAATCAGTGGTTAAGTTGTATTTACAACACTGTTCCAGAACAGTTTAACCCAAATATTCAGATGTGTCCAACACATTTAATGGAGGACTGTTTCCTGATCCTGGAAAAGTAGACTACAATGCCGGCTGTTCTGATTCACAGACTGTAAGTACGTTTTTTATATTTAAAGAATTTGCCAATGACGATTCAAACGCGAGTTTTGAGCAGTGTAGAGTAGCACATGTTGTTTGCCATTTCACCTATCACAAATGCAGACATGGTTTTATGTTTACGCGACGCCACGCGTAAAAAGACATTATAAGTCATTATAATCCGTAATTATGTCCCCACTGGATGCAACAAATGTCTCGTTTATAATGTGTTTTAATGTTTTTGTCTCGTCACTCTGGTCTGACAGGGCATCACAATATGGTAAGGGGCCTAACATTTCCGTCACACGCTTGAGGTATTCGGCCAATCACAACGCTCTGGATAGCTGGTCAATCAGAGCACACCTCGCTTATCAGACTGATGAGCTTTGTAAAAATTGACACGTTTCAGAAAGGCGGGGCATAGAGGAGAAATAATAATGTACAGTATGTGGAAAATAATGTGTTTTTTTAACCTTAAACCGCATAAACACATTTCATTACACAAAATACTCAAAATAATGTTCTTTTTAGCAGCCTCATATGACCCCTTTAATACTATCTTACTATCTTTAATACTATGAAAGATATAACACCAACATGTCAGACTTTTTTTTTAAATAAATAAATAAAAAAGCAGAATCACTGAGTTGGAAAAAGGACCACTGCCTTGTCAGTATTTTGTTGAACCACCTTTTACTTTAATTACAGCCTTTAGTCTGATGGGATATGTCTCTACCAACTCTGCACATCTAGACTTTGCGATATTTGTTCACTATTCTTTGCAGAACTGCTCAAGTTTAGTTAAATTTGATGGTGACTGTTTGTGGACTGCAGTCTTCAAGTCATTCCACAGATTTTCAGTGGTGTTTAAGTCTGGGCTCTGACTAGGCCATGCAAAGAACATTCACCTTTTTCTTCCTTTAACCACTATGTGCTCAGTTTTTTCCTGTGCTTTGGGTCATTGTCATGTTGGAAGGTAAACCTTCTTCCCATTGACAACTTTCTGGCAGATGGCAGCAGATTTTCCTCAAGAATTTGATGGTATTTTGCCCCATCCACTTTTCGTTCTATCCTGACAAGTGCTCCAGTCCCTGCTGCAGAGAAGCACCCAGAACAGGATATTAACACCTCCATGCTTTACTGGAGGAATGCTGTTCATTTTGGTTGGTGAGCTGTATTTGATTTCCACCAGACATATTGTTTGGTGTTGTAAGGTCCACACACTTGGCCCAATGAAGGTATCCAGTGGTGGATGAAGGTTTCTTGCGTGTTCGTTCTTTTCAGCGCGCAGAGTTATTCAATTTAGATTTAACTCAAATCTGACTCCATTTTAGTATGACCTCGAATTTAGGTTGAAAGGCAAATTGGTTGTTTGTCGGTCTCTAATTATTCTGACATTTGATTATTCTAGTTAACTCTTTACTTATATTTACTCGTTCATTAGGAATCTATGTCGCACAAACCACCTCAATGGGAACAGAAGGTAATTTGCATGGAATGACCCTCTACATTAATCAAAGTATCTCTTAACTCTTAGGACCTGTATTATCTTTTAGTCTACTTTTGTAATATTAAGACCATTGTACCACTCACCCTGAGACTATTCAAATGAAACCAAACATGACTGTAAATCTTATTTGCATTCATATAGAACATTATACTATTGACCATTCTGAGTGAATCCAGTGGAGGGAGGAGATGAAAAGGCACTGATGCATATGTGAGAGAGGCGTTTCCTGCACCACCTCTCTGTGGGGTGTCTTGAAGATGCCAGTGTATTGTCTGTTTCTCAGGAGATCAAAGTATCTGAGTTTCTTTTATCCTTACAGTGTTGAGGCCAAATAATTAAATTTTAGTCTCTTCTGCCTCAGAATCTTCAAGGTGTGTTTTGGCAAAATTCAGTCGTGACTGGATGTGGCCTTTCTTGAGGAGTGGCCTTTTTCTTGCAACCCTCCCATACAAGCCACATTTGTGAAGAATTTGTGATTTTTTTCACATGCACACAATGACCGCCCTTTGTCATAAATTCCTGCAGCTGCTTCAGAGTTGCTGTAGGCCTCTTGCTCGCCTCTCTGACCAGTTTCCTCCCGGCTCTTTCATCCAGTTTGAAGAGACGTCCTGATCCAGTGAGGGTCTGTGTTGTACCAAATACCTTCCACTTCTTAATAATAGACTTTCACTGTGCTTCTAGGCATTGATAAAGCCATTGAATTTTTTTTGTATCCATCTCCTGACTTTCTACAACTTTATCCTGGAGATCTTTTGATAGTATAGTCAGTTGTTAATTGTTTGCTTCAGTTGCACTACCAAGGAAATGCTCCAGGAAAGCTCTTTTCATGCTGAGCCAATCAAAATGACCACAGCTGATCACAGTTGAAAGTCAAATGGCTTTGTGTGCCATTAGCTATGTTTCCATCCAAAGATGCAAATTTAACTTATGCGCAAAACTGGAATATCGCAGAAAACATTTGCGAATAAAGCACAGTTTCCATCCAACGAGATAAAGAGAACAAAATTGTCACTTCCTGATAAACTGCCACTAAATATCTGTAAGAAAACTAGGAGAAGCTACTGAATATAATAATTTTCATATGAAATAAATTACTTGCGCTTCAGAGAGAGCAGACGTAACAAAAAATGCGGTCATTGCTTTTAGAGGTGGATGCCTGCTGTTTGGGAATGCAGTCATGTAAGACAGTAATTATACAGAAATACTTTGATGACAGACTTTCCTCAGGCATTTCAGAATGACCAAAACAACATATAGATGCTGGGAAAGAGATCGGTCCGCTGGTTAGTCAATTTATCCCGTCTCATAACGCAAAGTCACATGACTTTTTCAGTGCGCATGGTGGAATTTATTCTGTAAATGTGTTTCCATCGTAGTTTATGCGCATTTTTAGAATTTATGCGCATCTTGGCGTTTCCATCCAAAGTTTTTTTTATGCGATAATCCAAAATGCAAATAAAAATAGGTGGATGGAAACATAGCTACTGAGAAGGTGATTAGCTACACCTGATTGAGTTTACAAGTCATTTTTAGGAGGGGGTGATCCTCAGTGATTCTGTTTTTTATTATTATTATTAATTTTTTTCTGACATGTTAGTGTTATATCTTTCACTTGGATGTTATAAGTTGGACTGAGTAAATACAGCTGGATAAAACAAAAACTGTGTCTGTCTCCATTTCAGGCTGCAAAGCAACATAAAATAATGTGATTATTTTAAAGAGGGGTGATTCTTTTCTATACCCACTGTATAAAAGGCAAAGTGGGATTTTTTTTTTTTTTTTTACATGTTGGCCAAGTGGTGCCTTCCTGTCAAAGTGGGTTTTTTTTGTCCAGGATAAACTACTGTGTAGAACAGACTTAATGCCAGAAGTCTGGAGACTATAGGCCACAAGAGTAATGCATGTCTGCTGTTACATTTAATGCTGATTAAGCTAATACTCCATTATGATAACTTGATCAGAGTACTTTTAATGTGTTACTGTTGTATCTTCTCAGTGTACTGAAGGTGTCTCAGGTGTTTAATGTGTGCATTAATGTATTATGTTATGTGAGTGAAGAACTCTCACCTTTTCAGATGTACTCGCCTGTCCACCTGGTGCAGTGTCCCACCTCACTGGCTGCCATGCTCTAAAGATAGCCGAGGTTTCTCTAGCATGAATGTCTTGCTGCACTGGTACCTTATAAAACAGGCAGCAGCACGTAAATGTAAAAAGATAGACAGAAAGGACTCTAGGAATACAAAAAGGCAGATGATTATTTTTAACAGGCAAGCAGATTCTCTTCTCTAATTCCCCTAGAATCCCACAGCTTAATTTGCATACAGAAACACCTACACAAACATACACAATCCCTACACACTCACTTTTTTTTCAATTTTATTATCCTTTCCTGCACACTTGTCGCACGGGTTGTTTTTTAGTTGATTGATTGAAACCCTAACTAACCTGTCTTATAACCTCCCTAATCTTTGTCTGTCCTTGCATTTCAAACACAGTGGACAGAGGTAAGAGACACTTCAGTTTCACTTTAAGTGTTTTGCTAAGGTTGCGTGTGATTAGGATTGTGAGTGCATTTTGTGTGCATCCTGGAAATTAGTGTTTTTTTCTGTTTGTTTGTTTGTTCTAAGTCCTTGACCGAAATAAAAAAGTGTTTAATCTCTTGCTACTTGTTAGTTGATGGAAATGTGATTACAGCATTAACAGCTCATACAGTATTACTACAGGCTGATGGTGTTCCACCTTACATTGACTCTCTGTTTGCTTGATCACAGCCTCTGCCCCATGGAAAAAAAAATCAGGTAAAGCACTTTGTCCACTCTTTCTGTCTTGTATGAGACACTTGACCTAATGGGTCTGCAAATATTTCTTATGGGATTAAACCTGTCCATCTGTTACAGAGTTCGAGTCTTCACAAGCTACAGAGAAGAAGAGGACAGTTTATCAGATGGCTTGTTTGTTTGTTCTAAGTCCTTGACCTAAATAAAAAAGTGTTTAATCTCTTGCTACTTGTTAGTTGATGGAAATGTGATTACAGCATTAACAGCTCATACAGTATTACTACAGGCTGATGGTGTTCCACCTTACATTGACTCTCTGTTTGCTTGATCACAGCCTCTGCCCCATGGAAAAAAAAATCAGGTAAAGCACTTTGTCCACTCTTTCTGTCTTGTATGAGACACTTGACCTAATGGGTCTGCAAATATTTCTTATGGGATTAAACCTGTCCATCTGTTACAGAGTTCGAGTCTTCACAAGCTACAGAGAAGAAGAGGACAGTTTATCAGATGGCTTTGAGTAAGAGAGTCATTGGTTTTATACAGAGGGACTGTCATCTAGTCAAGCGTAAAGTTAAGAAATCAATGGATAGTTCACCCAAAAATTAATATTTTGTCATCAGTTATTCACTGTTATGTCATTGTATGACTGAGCACCAAAGAGATATTTAGCAGAATGTCTGAGCCACTCTATTTCATACAGTGAAAATGGTTAGAGAAAAAACAACGACAACAACAAAAGCATCATAAAAATAGTCCTACTCCAAGTATTATGAACCACATTCCAAGTAATTTGAAGCCATATGGTAGTTTTGTGTAAGGTATAGTATAGGCTAGGGGTGTCCCCGACTAAGGATTTTCATGGTCGAATCGGAATTTTCGAATCTTGCCGATATTCGACTGATAGTCGAATCATATGCTTTGGGGGCGGGGCAAAATACATTACCAAGAGTCAAGTCAGACATTTGACAGACGCCTCGCAGATACAAACGGGGTAAATAATGTTTTATGTTTTGATTAAAAGGTAGTTAACATTAAACGTCAGCGAACTCTAAGAATTCACAAAAATTTTTAGAATAGTGCTCTCATTATAACGTTATGTAATATGACAGTAGTTATTAATGTTCTGCATTTCTGTTTTGAGCTGTGCATGCTGAAGATGACCAGAATGAAGCATTTGAAAGCAGGGTTTTAATCAATGGGGTTTAACTCATCATTTATCTCATATAGAATACGCTTCATTATTTATACAACATAACGTTAATATTACGACTTATAGACTATCTGCACAAAATGCCCCGAATGCACATGAACGTGTCTGCGCGGCTCTGAATGATTTCCTTTTGTGGACGCGTTCATCACGCAACAACGTGCAGAAACAAAGCAACTAAACTCTAAAAATTCACAGCGTTTTATTATAATAGTGTTCTCATTATAATTGTTATGTATATGACAGTCCCAGTCATAGTTATTAATATTCTGCATTGTTATTTGTCCTGCTCGCGCTGCGCTCTGAAGAGATAATCACCGTAGTACTATAATGAAGCGCTTTACTGCAGCGCAACTCAACAAAATGCATTTTATACGAGATAAATAATATATACACAATATATATAAACCGGCTGAAATTTTTTGAAATCACTTGTACCCTACCTGATCGAAAAAATCCAGTCTTTCACTCTGCCTGTGTCAATTTGAGTCTTGTTAAAGTTTTAAATCCCTGCCGCCAAAATGCTCCTCTGTCGGTCACGGATTATGGAAAGTGAAACTTAAATCTATAGGGGTGGTTGGATTTATTCACGCACGTTAACATATTTATTTGAGGCTTCTTTCTTTTCAGATTCTTATTTACAGCATTATTTTAATAGGCTGTATATTAACTTATTGGGAGAAAACCAGTAGTTCTATGTGAAATCAGACATTTGGGCACCCCCCTATAGCCAAAATGGCATGATCATAACACCCCGCGAAAATTCGACTGTGAGATTGGTAGTCGAATCAGGCTCCTCCTATCGAAGTATCGAATCTTCGCCTATTCGGGGTCACCCCTAGTATAGGCTGAAATTTATTTTATTATTCATTGAAAATCATGCTTGACAGGCATTTACTTTCATTGTATGGTAAAGAGCAGCTTTGTTATTCTGCTATAAATAAATCCCTTTTTGTTCCATGAAAGAAAGAATGGGTTTCAAAGACACATGGGTGAGCAATGATGACAGAGTTATTATTTGTTGGGTAAACATCTCCTTTAAATCAATTCAAGCTGAGAATAAATAGTTAGTAAATTATTATTTATTATAAATTATAATTTATTTATTTCCTTCTCTCTCTTTTATTCGATGTCAGATAAACTGGATGAGATTTTAGCAGCAGCACAGCAGACTATCAGTACCAATGAGGCCCCAGGGCCCCGGGTTCAGGGGATAAAAAGAGAACGGGGCAGAGGCTTTTATAATGAGGTGTGTTTGTGTATGAGACCATTGAAGCCGTAATTAAAGATCACTAAGAAAACTGATGTTTATGAAATGAGATTTATTAGATGGTGCTCTGGATTTACTGAGCTATATTTTTTTGCAGAAATTGTTTAGCAAATTGGATTATTTAAAAAACTGGTGCATAATGTTTATAATGTTCTTTCTCTCCATGTATTTTTGCAGCCAAATTTTGACCAAGCAGGAATGGGGATGACATCATCTGGGACAGGGTTAGGATACGACCGTGGTCAATTTATGTCTGGCCATGGCCCCCCCCATGGTATGCTGCGACAGAAGTCCATCGGTGAGGCTGTCTGTTAGTCCATCTGTCTGTCTGCCCACATGTCTGTCTAACCATACTGCTGTACGTCTATGGCACGTGCATTTAGTGCACTCAAAAGAGTGCAGCTGTGGATTTGCTTTAATGCTTATCTGTAATTCTTTATTGCTCTAGAATAGAGACTGTACATTTCAGTTTGTTGAAACAGTCCATAAAAATCTTGTCAGGGGTTTGACTGGGTTACTGGAGAGACCAATTGCCGTAACAAATGTGAATGAGATTTATTTCTTCTGGTGCTCAGCATCAGTGTTCATTCTTGGTTGGACTATAAAATGTACAGCCCATTTATAACCCCCAAGATTATTAGCACACTATCTGTATGATTAGAAATGTTTTCTGTGCCATGCTTTAAATATGTAAACTGGCAATGTCAACATGTGCTTAAATGTTCAATATTAAAATGTTCACTTTCTTGGGTTGCACAATTGGTTAACTTTATTTACATTAAAAAAAAAAACATCATTTGTTTATTTTGCATGCCATGAGATGTAGCTAATGTGTATTTGTGTCACTTCTTCTGTTATCATGATGACTTTATGTGTGAATTGCATTTGTCCTTGTATAACACACTGTAACTAAAAGTGGTCTTCACTGACACAAAACAGCATTGCTGAAGTAGAGAGGTGAATGGCTTGTACATGTTACTGCTGGGAGATTGCCCAGTTATGGTAAAAACAGACAAGCAGACAGACAGACATACTACAAGATGGTCTCATTTCTATATCCCATTTTATTGCCCTATGCTCATTTTTTAGGAAATAAAGATTTTTTCATCTCTTTCTCTTTTCTCATATACAGCTGATGTACAGCCTCTTTCTCTCTCAAACATATTTTTCTTTTGTCTTTGTAACACTCTTTTCTATTCATACCTCCTTCATTTATTTCCTTGAAAATGTATTTCATCTCTCCCTTTTTGGTTTTCTTTTTCTGCAGGGGTTCCAGAGGAGGAGAAGCAGTTCCTTCATCCTCCAGCCATGAAGTTTGCCCGCAGTCTTTCAGTACCTGGCCCAGATGACATCCCTCCTCCCCCTACTACAGCTCCCCCTGAGCCCCCGTTCTCCTCAGCTCCCGCTCTTGGCTTTAGGGGCAAGACATCCCAGCAGCCGTCTGTTTCTGTGTCCCAATCCACTTCCTCTTCTGCACATTTTCAGCTCTACTCGCAGTCAGTGCATGTCACTCATGGACCCAGAGATAGGTCCCCTGGACCACCTGCAGGGTCCGGAACCGGGGACCTCCCTTACTCCCATGCTCAATCCCACCCCTCTGTGCCAAGCAGGACTGCCTCCAAGAAGGTGATTGGGTACACAGGGGACCTTGCAGGGGCTGGAGGAGCACCAGGAGCCAAGGCTGCAGCATTGAGAAGGGGCTACAGCAATGCAGTCCCATCCACTAGTGTCGCTACTGTTATTCCCCAACAGCAGCAGACTACTCAGAGCCAACCTTCCAGGATGGACCGCAGTGTGATAGGGGCAGGAGCAGGGGTAGGTGGTGTGCCGAAAGGTGGTGCCCGGAGAGGGAAGGGGCCCTTGGTGAAGCAGTCAAAGATAGAGGATTTGCGTCAGGGCCAGGGCACACTGGAAGGGAAGGGGTCAGTGGAGAAAAGCTCTATTCCTATCCCAACCATCATCGTTAAAGCCCCTTCCACCAGCAGCAGTGGTCGCAGTAGCCAAGGCAGCAGCATGGAGGCTGAACCGCCTCCTCCAGGAATGAGTGACAGTTCTAACCCCCAACCTGTTGTTCCCCCACCTGCACCCACCGTTCCACCGCCAGCCCCTCCATCTAGACCTGCTCCACCACCCCCATCACAGCCATCACTTCGTACTCAAGAGAGTTTGGACTTTACCAGCCAGTTTGGTGCTGCCATAGTAGGGGCAGCTCGCAGGGATCGAGAACGATTCCATGAAGCACGACGGAAGAGTGCCTCCTTTTTTCTTTCTGCTGAGGAAGAGTTGGGTGGAGCAGGAGAAGTGGGAGGACGGACCCAGACTTCCCAACAGCAGCTGAGTTCCCAGCCTTCACCACGCCTGCGACCATCCAAATCTATAGATGAAGGCATGTTCTCAGGTGATACTTTTATCCACCACACACGCAGTATGCCTCCTGCCTTTGGCCTGCCTGAGTACTCCTCACCTGCTCCTCCTGGGGATTACCAGCCTAAGTCTGTACCTGCTGACTTCTATGGGGCGGGAGGCCGACAACAGCAGCAGCAGCAGCAGCAGCAAGCCTCCACCACAACTTTCATTCACCCATTAACGGGGAAAGTTCTGGACCCTTCATCCCCACTAGGCTTGGCATTGGCTGCACGGGAACGTGCCTTGAAAGATGATGGTCGCATACGCAGGGAGAGGACCACTGAACATAATTTTAGCCGTCAGTTGTCCAGCATTGGGGCCTTTCCCTCATCCACTGCACAACCAACGTCGCACATCTCCTACTCAATGGCCTCGTCTTCCTCTGCAACCTCCTCTGCTGCTCAGTCCTCAAGCTCCTCCTCGTACCTGGTTACATCCTCATCGCTAGCTGCCACCACCACATCCACTCGGCCTCCATCTCCCAGGATCCTGCGTGGAGCAGGAAGCAGCTGGAGTGAGGAAGCAGGGAGTGGAGAGCGTGCAGATAGGGAGGCTGCTGGCACCTCTGCTCCCAGAGAAGGCCTAAGGGTTCGTTTCTCTGAGGATAAAACTGTCCACACGCACCACTATCAGTCTCAGCACTATCAGCCCACCTACAAAGAACGTGAACGAGAGCGTCAGAGAGAGAGGTCACGAGAAAGAGAGAGGGAAAGAGAGATAGAAAAAGCTCACACCCAGTTACAGCAGCAGTCCACACAACAAATGACCCAGCAGCCTCGACGCCCCTCGGTCTTGAGGATGGAGAGTGAGGCTGGGGCATATATCCTTTCCTTGACCCCACCTTCTCCACCTCCAACAACAGCCCCTACACGTCCTTCAGCAGGAGCTGCAGGTGAAGGTGAAAGTGGCACAGGTCTGATGGTTCTCCCTCCCCCAGCTCCCTCAATAGATGCAGATGATGAGTTTGTGTTTGCTGATCCACTCCCTCCACCTCTGGAGTTTGCCAATAGTTTTGATCGTGGTTTGGGTTATTCTGCAATGTTGTCTCACAATGTGACAGCGCGCCAGCAGCTTCATCCTACACCACCACCTCCCCCACCACCTCCTCCCCCTCCAAAAGACTCCTTTATGACTGGGTTCCCACCTCACACACCCCTGCCCTCACCGCAGGCAGGTGATTCCACAACATCCAGCCTTACTTCCTATGACAGTGAGGTTGCCAACCTCACCCAGTCAGCCCCGTCTCCCTCTTCATCTTTCCCCAACCCATTACCGCCTCCCTCCCCCTCCACCTTGCAGCCCTCTGGGCCACCTCCACCTCCTTCTGTATCACCTCCGCCACCACCCACCTCCTACCATAGACCGTTTGGCCTATCTCAGTCACAGCACTTATATAATAGTACAAATTCAGCTGGACGCTCCTCTTCTCCCACACCACCTCCTCTCTCTATTCCAGCGCCACCTGCCTACCGGGGCCCTCTAGCAGCAACATCCACCCCAGCAACTTCTGTATCTCTCAGAGGCGCCTCAACTGTGACCGCAAGCTGTTCCAAAACTGCTTCTACAACTGTAATCTCTTCTACTACTGCTGCTGCTGCTGTTGTCACACCACATACACGCTTAGCAACCGTCTCCACAGTAGCTACAGGGGGTAGCAGGCGGCCCAGTGCAGAGCATCATCCACCACCCAGTGCCGCTGCAGCTAAGAGTGGCGAGTCCCAGGAGACAGTGGTGGATTCTGGGATTGAGGAGCTGGACAGCCGAAGCAGCAGCGACCATCACTTAGACAACATCCTTGCACTCAGTGGTAGTGGGGTCAGAGAAAGTTTGGAGAGAGCAGGGATGGGTAGCATAGGTGGAGTTGGAGAGAGAGGTAGGGCAACAGAGGCCGACAGAGCAAGTGGGACAGAATTTCTAGAGTCTTACATGAGCTACCTTGATGGACAGACTTTTGAAATGCATAATGCCAAAGCCGCAAGCACTGCATCAACCTACCCAAAAACACAGAGGTACAGAGAAGGGATCCGGGCTGGAGATCTTCGACACCAAACCAGCACGGCACCCCCTGCATACCACCGTCGTAGGGAGGAGGAAGAGGAGGAGGATGAGGCAGAAGAGGAAGAGGAGGAGGATAGCAATGCCCGTGATGGCTATGGAATGAGGGAAGGGCCAGGGATTGCTCGCTCCTCTGTAATGTACTTTGACCGGCCCCGCACTCCAGAGATAAAACCGCTGTGGGGTGATGGGTCGGCCGGAGCAGCGCAGTGTATAGGGGAGGGAGGGGTCCAGACTGGGGGGACATATGTGGAGGCACGTAAACTACATCCTCCCATGTCCGGTATGAAGGCAAGCATCATCAATGAACTAAGCACCAAATTACACCAGAGGAGCAAAGGAATAGAGAACTGGGGGGCTCAAAGATCACTGAGCAGACATAGGTATTTGTGTGTTATCAGTATAGGTACAGTATATGTGCATGACTGTGTGTTAATGTCTGCATGGTGGCCTTGAAAGGAGGCATGTGGCATGAGAATCTCTAAGCTGCATGAGCATTGTGTGATTTGGTATGCCATGAGTCATAATCAAATTATGAGCCATTCAGTTAAAGAACTCCTGTGATATTCAGATTAACATAGTGTGTGAAAATAGTTTTGTAACTGCCATTTTATTATCAGTGTCTCAAACACCAATGAACTCTGTGTGTGTATTGTGTAACTGTGTCTGTTTAAACTGTTCCTCTCTTTTGTGATTTCTGCTTTTTATTGCACTGTCCATGTACGTCTGTCTGTCCCTCATCAGACACAGGTAACTGCTGCACTATACTGCTCTATCATTCTCTTTACTGTCAAACTCCCCCCCTTTCTCTCTTTTTGTCCTCTCCTATTCTTTTGCCTTAATTTGTGTTGCATTTTCTCTCATTTCAGGTTTTCAGAGGACTCCACAGGTGCACTGAGTCCACCCTCTGTCCGCTCTAGCTCCCCATCTCCTATTCAGCTCTCTCAGCCTGCCTTGTCTCCCTCCCCCACCCCTTCTTCCCAGCCGCTCTACCCAAATTGGGCTCGATCTCCTTCCCCTCAGCCCCCTGCTGCCTCATCCCAGCCTCCTCCCCGATCCCACTCACCTGTTTCTCCTTCTTCATATTCGCCATACCCAACCTCACCCAAACACCGGCCCGTTTACCGCACCAAAGCCCTAGAGTTTCAGTTTATCCCCAGCCGAGAGTCACGTAAGGCAGAGTCACATCATGCTCAGCGCAGACGAGCACCCAGCCCATTAATTTCTCCTTCTGACCGCCCAAAGCTTGGCCCTCCCCGCCCCTCTTCCCTTCCCATTCTCCCCACCACGCCCCTCTATAGCAGCTTGTATGACCTCCGTGGTTCTATTACTCCACCATCACCTGCCAATCCTCTTGGGGACCCCTACTTCTCCCCCTCTCCCCCTCTCTTTGCCCCCTCCGGGGCTCCACCTCCTCCAAATTCCTCTCTGGTGGTCTCTCGCTCCTTGTCCCCAACCCACTTCCTGTCAAGGACATCATCCCCACCACTCCACCCCATTCCTCCACCCACTTGCCTGAGTTATCCACACCTCCCTCCTCCTTCACCCACCAAACCCTTCGCCTCCAAACCACTCCCATACTGGACCAAGTACGACGTTGCAGATTGGCTGGGCTACCTGAACCTGGGTGAGCACAGGGAGCGTTTCCTAGACAACGAGATTGATGGCACGCACCTGCCCTCTCTAACCAAGGACGACTACCTGGACTTGGGTGTAACCAGAGTTGGACATCGCATGAACATTGAGAGAGCGCTCAGGAGAGTGATGGACAGGTGAGGGGAGAGATAGAAGGGGAGGCAGAGAGACGCAAGGGAGGACAGCGATGGAGAGGGATTAGGGTGAGAAAGGGGTAATGCATGAACAAAAAAAGCTAGTATAGATGAGGTAAAACATTGATATGCTATTGATCGCTAACTTCTGGGAACATTTGGAGTGGACCGCTGCATGAGGTCCAGGATGGCATGGGACAAGAAAAGGAGAACAGAAAGGGGGATGCGGGCAAACAAGAGAAAAAATATTTCCTTATACTTTCCACCTTCCCCCCTATCGTCAGGCTGTCTTCTAGCACTTTCCCCATTTCTGCCCTCTCCTCCCGAGATGAACGGACAGACAGAAGGAGAGATGAGGCCAACCGGAGTTGAGAGGACAAGAAAGATGAGGTGACAACTGCTGCCATCAGAGATTATTCCCTGAATTAAGAAAAACGCAAGAAGAGATGATTTCAACATCAAACTGCCGACTCGCAGATGGAGAGATACAGGAGAAACAGAGAGCATTGAAGGCCTGTCGACCTGTGAACATAGCTGCGCTTACATGTGTTTCAGTCAACGAAAACATGAACATGAACATTCACATCCGTACATATCAACATTTAAACAGAACACACTTAGTTTGAGCTTGCAGGCACTCACAAGGTAATCAAAATGGAAATAAATGAATCAAATAGTGGAATCTAACTATACCAGAATACCCAAGATCAGCAAGAGAAGGTAACATACTACATACCTGAGCCAAATAATTTAAGTAAAACAATCAAAATGCTCTTTAGCTTTCCCGTTTTTCTGTAGTTCTGTAGGAAGAGATAGGGAGAAAGAGAGATATTGAAACCTCCTTTGCTATCTTTCTCTTTTTCTCAGATTTGAGCTGAGTCTGTATTACCGGCAAATATTTACTAACTGTCTAATTTTTAGAGTATGTTCAATAGAGACCAATGCAGGGAGGTCAAGTAATGATAAACCTCCTGTCTGGCATGACTAGGGAAACCCTTAAAAAAAAAGGTCAGTTTAACTTACACTTTTTTGGTAAGACTGTGTTTATGCTTGGGTTCCTGTTGTTTGTGTGTGAGTGTGTGTGTGTGTGTGTGCGCATACTTGATAATGTGAAAGGTTATCACTAGAGGCATGACAGTGATTTGTTATGTGTTTTACCTCACCAATGGAGGGATTCTATTTTGCAGAAGCCAGATTGGGGCTTGTGCTTATCTTGTATTTCACTAGAACTTCTTTACCTTCTCATGTCTTATAATGAAATAATATATACATAAATATATATATCTAACTGTCTAATTTTTAGAGTATGTTCAATAGAGACCAATGCAGGGAGGTCAAGTAATGATAAACCTCCTGTCTGGCATGACTAGGGAAACCCTTAAAAAAAAGGTCAGTTTAACTTACACTTTTTTGGTAAGACTGTGTTTATGCTTGGGTTCCTGTTGTTTGTGTGTGAGTGTGTGTGTGTGTGTGTGTGCGCATACTTGATAATGTGAAAGGTTATCACTAGAGGCATGACAGTGATTTGTTATGTGTTTTACCTCACCAATGGAGGGATTCTATTTTGCAGAAGCCAGATTGGGGCTTGTGCTTATCTTGTATTTCACTAGAACTTCTTTACCTTCTCATGTCTTATAATGAAATAATATATATACATAAATATATATATATATACAGACTGGTCACTGTATTACAAACCCGTAGCAAAAATAAGTGCCCAGACCAACATAACAGACTCAGAAGCGCTCTACCATTTACACACATGCACTCAGTACATTCTCAGCCTACTGATAGCAACATACACAAACGTACAACAACACCTGTTGATGACGATACACTCATCTCTTTTATTTATATAACACATAATGGGACACAGTGAAATATCTATGTATGGATACAAGATGAAGATAATGTTATAACGCAAAAACAATATTTTAAAGAAAGAAGATGATACAATATTGTAAAAACAAAAGTATATATATATATATATACTGAAAATGTATCAACATTTTTACCACAGACTCTCAAAATATAGAGGTGACAATGACTTCAACGAACCTATCAACAATATCAAGCCTCCATTTTAAAAGAGGAGACAACATGGAGAAGAGGGAGAGGGAAAACCAAACTGCCTGTATTTCTTTCCAAGTCACTCTCCCTCTCTCCTTCCAAAAAAACTCTTTCTATGGAGGCGAGGCAAGACGAACATGCACTCTGACATGGGTGAGGGATATGTGCTAATATCTGTTTTAATACAATGATTGTTCCTATAACAATTTTTAAACTCTAAGTGGGTCTGGAATTCTGTTGTTGATTTAACAAGAGGTAATGTTATTTATTGCAGTCACTGTTCTCATCGTCCTTGCTGTTATTGCTATAAGCTGCAGTGTTTCTTGTTTGTTTCTGAGCGCAAACGCTGAACAGGTGTTTATGCTTGACATTTTTTTTATTTGTGATCACATGCAACGTTTTTAGATCTTTGGTACCTCTAGAACTTAAATTAGAGACAAGACACTCATATCTTACAATGTCCCTCACCCTCCTGCTTTTCCCTTCCAACACAAAATGATTGTCATCACTTTGTATGCAAGGACTATCAAGAAGTTTATTTTCTGTGGCAGTAAATATACCCTTTACATTCATATTCCATTACACAAACTTATAAGTATATCTAGTGACCTCCAGCCCTCATCTCCCACATTACACATAGTTGCTCAATCAATTAAAAGGGCTCCTCGTCATCACATTACGCCTTTCATGAGCTATTCCTCCTCTTTTCTCTTCCTTTCATCTGCTGTCACCTTGAGTCCAAACCATCAACGCCTTCACCTTTATGTTATCTTCCTGTCTATGTCTCTATCAAGACCATTCTCCCCTTCATATCCCTCTGCCATCTTGTATCTGTTTGTCTTCTCAGAATGAGTGTGGGATTTATACATCATTCATCAGTGCTCGCTTTACCTTAATCACCCATATTGGACAAAAAGATTGAAGAACTTATTGTATTTTTGATGTTTAAGACTGGTAAGTATAGCGATGTTGATAACAGTAAGGACAATGAAAGAAATTATCATTCTGAGATAGAAAAAAAGGATTCCAAGTTTTAAAGAATCTCTGTCTTCCAAAATGTTTAACATGAGTTTAACGTGTAATCAAATCATGCTTTCTACACATCCTGTGTTTCCTGTTGTCTCATCTTTCCACAGTCAAATTCATCAAACCAATTTGCTTCAATAGCAGCTGGTGTTGTACCCTGATGAATGGTAAATATTCTCACTTTCCAATATTGTCCACTAGGTGGAGTAAAAGTCACAGTTCTCACATCTCTGACAGTTTCAGCCAAGTGTCTGAATGAAGGATTGAACCATGGCAAAAAAAAAAAGGGGTTTCTGGTTGGGAAAAGGAAATATTTAAGTCTTTGTTCAGTCCTCAAACTCTGCAGCTTAGATTGTCAATATTACAGCTTCTAATAATAGAACAGTATTCAGACATGCTTTCATGCTGCAGAGATATGCATAATCATGCTGAGGATACATGCACATTGAAGATCACATGGCCATTAAAGGGTCTGGGCAGTGTGACCTATAGGATGAGGTGATGGATCACACACAGGGGCAACTGATGCCGTAGCTGTACAGGGTGTGCAGAAAGCATCTTTTTATAATTTTTTTTTGTTTTTAAAAATAGAAAATTGACTATGAGCAGATAAGAGGTTATTTACAGAATATATATATGTGTGTATGCGATTATACATTCATATACACATATGAAATACAGATGTTTTAAGAAATGACAGTTATTAGAATTATAATAAAAGATGCAGGAATTACTTTGAGTGGCTTGTAGTTTGTTTACTATCACATTTGTTTTTTGGTATATGGACGTTCTAAACCTTACAGTTCTTATTAATTTACATCCTGATAAATGTTTTTAATTGGGGGGAGGGGGGTAGAGATTTAGTACTTCCCTTAATAAGCTAAAGCTATTTGACATAACACGTTTGCATACGCCCAAATAACAGCTAATTTTACACAAAACCGCCGGTTCTTAATATGGCGTGTAGATATCTGAATTTTTTTTTTTTTTGTGATAGCTGTGCCAGTAGTGAAGCTACAAATACTACAGGTCCTGCACATTTTCTGTGCATTTCCAACAGGAATGTGAAATGATTCCGATTCAGCGCTTCACACTACAACAATTGAGGGACTCATACAAGACGGTTACAAAAGATGCAAACATTCATAGATGCTTTAGGCGGCAGTATACTACCTTGATAATTTTGTCTTAAGACATTTTATTCAGCTGCAGAATGGCAGCAAGATGTTAACACTTCCCTGTACAAGCTTGAGACTGCCAGGAGAATGGGTTCCTCCTGCTTTCCTCATCTAGACATGTTGGGATTACTCATGGTTAGTTTCCTAATGTGCTCACAAGTGGTTTTCTGACAAGTTTTTGTACATACAATGAAGCAATATTGCATTATAAAAAGCACTACACAAAATAAAGTGATTAATTCACTTGCTATAGGGTATTCTAAGCCCGCTTCCTTGAGGGCCACAATTCAGCAGTTAAGCTCTAACCCTTGTACCTGTAGTTCATTTGTAGATCAAATTAAGGCAGCTATGTATTTTGTGGTTTCGGTGATGAATGGACACTTATTTGATTGCAACAGATTGGTTTTCCAAGACACTTTCTAAAAGATGTCTGCAGAATTGTCCACAGACCCCCAACACAAGTTTGAAAACCCCTCATTCAAATAACCCTGCTGAACCAGATTAGCTAGTCGTCATTTAGGGTTGGAGTTAAACTCTGCAGGAAGGTGGCCCCTTCAACATGATTGTCTGATTAAAACCAGCAGTTAAAAAAATAAATAAAAATAGTCTAACAGGGTTCTCACTTTACTTTTATCCAATTACACATTTTAGATCAAGCACAACGTTAAATGTACAATAAACCATAATTAGCTTTGACCATTTTCAATGACTTGTGGGAACACCAACAGCATTTTCCAAATAAAGTAATCAGAAACCAATAGCAAGCTTGATGGATTTCAAAGTCTCATTTAATGGTAGTCAATCTATTAGAAAAAAATAAATAAATAATAAAAAAAAAAAAGTTAAAGCTACACATTTACACAAGCTACTGGCATTTGTTTAGTCAATAAATTAATCTGAAAGATTAAACAGCATTTGCAGGAAGGCGGAAGCTCGTCCACAGGCCACGCTCACAAGTCACCAGATTCCACTCTGAAAAAAATTAATAAAAAAAAAGTTATAACGCATGTCACATTTAATTGCTTTTTTGATTCCACTTCAACAGCGCTTCTCAGATTCTGC